TAAACAAATAATAAATAACACATATACTATATATAAATAATATATATATACTATATATATAAATAATTGATTTGACCACAATATTAAAAACCAATATTTAAACAATATATTGGAATTGAATTTTCTCTTGGTAAATAAGTAATTTTTATTATCTCATAAATTAATTAATAAAAAATAAAAATATATAATTTTTATAAATATTATAAAAATTGAATATACATTAATATTATATATTGTTCATATTAAACAAAAATATGTTTAAAAAAATGAGAATTTTATTGCTAGTAAAGATAGAAATGGCTAAAATACAATGAAAAAATGAATTAATGTCTTAATCATACTCCACTTTTCTGGTTAAATAGATTAACGGTTCAACTAGTAAGGTCATTTGGTTGTTTATTATTATCATCATCATCATCATTTGATACTATCACGTGTAAAAATAAATGTGAAAATAAGAATTATTTTTATTGGTTCAACTATCCATGTTAAACAATAAAATACATAAAATTCTAAAAAATGTAGAAATTTATAGATAATTTTGGGTACATTCTATAATATTATATATTTATCATATAAAAGAAATGTGATTAATGAGAATTATTTTCATTAATGATAGAAATGGGATAAAAAATAAAGAGAATTAATGTATAGCACATGACCCTACTAACCATGTCAAGTGGTTCAATGATTTAATTAAATAAGTCATTGTATGCAAGTGGTTTGATCGGATTGGATTTGAATCAGGATAATTCGAATTCGATTCGATCTGAAGATCTAATCGAATCTCATATATATATAATTATTAAAAACCAATATTCAAATAATATATTAGAATTGTATTTCCTCTTGGAAAATGAGTAATTTTTATTATCTCATAAATTAAATAATAAAAAATAAAAATATAGTATTTTTATAAATTTTATAGCAAAAAATTTGAACATGCATTAATATTATATGTTCTTCATATTAAACAAAAATATATTTGAAAAATAAGAATTATTGTTAGTAAAGATACAAATGGCTAAAATACAAAGAAAAAATGAATTAATGTCTTAATCATAGCCCATTTTCTTGGTTAAATAGGTTAATGGTTCAATCAATAAGGTCATTTGGTTGCTGCCTATCATCATTATCATTTGATATTGTCACATGCAACGCGCGTGCACTTTTACTAGTTTAAATAAAAATGGTAGAGGTTTCTTTTCAATATATATGTATTTGAGGTTTCATTTGGTTTTTCTTGATTTATTAGAAAAAGGAATGAATAATTTTTATATTTTTAGATGAATAAAGACATTCATGTCAATAAAATAAACAAGGATTTAAAGAAACTTTTTTGTATGTAAATAAAATGATTATTGTTATTCTAGTTGGTTTCGTTTGGAAAAAATGAAAGTATTTTGGATCAATTATGGTTTAAGGTAAAATGGCAAGAAAAATAAAAGGGAAAATCTATGATGCGGGAAAGACATGGTACCGGAAGAGTTTTGACCAATCAAAACCCACCCATGAATTTTGATAAATAACACTTTATTGACTACCACTTTTATGATACCACTTGATTGGTCAGAAATTTTTAAGATATCATATCTTTTCCATATCATAGTCGAACCTTAAATAAAATAAAAAAAGTTAAAGTGAATACTTTGATAATTTAATGCATTTCGTCCTCTAACTTAATAGTCAAGGGTATTTGTCCCAAAGTGTATGTTCAAGGGTAAATCACTGACTGACCATGGTACAATGGGTGTTTTTGTAATTTACACCCTCTTTTATTTAGCTTTTTTGTTACTCACTCAATTAAGCAACTTTGGTTTACTAGAAAAAAAAATTAAGCAAAATTGATAAAAGGGTTGTATGGCATTTGTAATTAAGCATAGCCTATATATTCAAGGTCTTGTTGTTTTAACTTGTTTTCGATCTCTAATATCTTCAAAGCAAATGACTTTCACTGTTCTTTTAGTACATATCTTAAAAGCAAAAGAATCTTGGCATCATGTTATTCTTTTAATACCTCTTATTTTTTAGATTGCAAACATCTAAATGACAATATTTTTATTATTTATCCCCCAATTTCCCTTTGTGCATTTTATTCATCATTTATTATTAGTAACATGCTCTTATTATATTAAAACTTTATAATAATAATAATAATAATAATAATAATAATAATAATAATAATAATAAGAAGAAGAAGAAGAAGAAGAAGAAGAAGAAGAAGAAGAAGAATATATTATTTTCATAATAATAAATATGATTAAAATAATAATTATTATTTATTAAATTAACAATAATAATACTTATTATTATATTAAAACATAATAATAATAATAATAACAATAAGAATAATAAGAATAAGAATAATAAGATATTATTTTCATAATAATAAATATGATTAAAATAATAATTATTATTTATTAAATTAACAATAATATTATTATTGTTATTAAAATAGTAATAATTAGTTACTATTTTATTTATTTATTATTTCATTATATTATTAACATTTAATTGTTTAATTATTTAATATTTTTCTATTATCATTATTTTTAACTATTATTATTATTATTATTATTGTTTTAATTATTCAATAATAATAATAATTAAGTATTTTATCATTTAATTATTTACTATTAAAATAATAATATATTATTAGTTAGTTATTACCATTATTTTTATTAATTTCTCATTATTAACTTTATTTTAAAAATGATTATTAATATCAATTATATAAGGGCACAGAACCCCAAGGTACAACACATGAGAACACTCTACATTTTAGTATCAAAGACACCACCCTAGGGACATAACTCCAATGCCTCTAACACCTTTCCATGACCACAAGTTGCCAAAACCCTAGGTCTTACATTCATCTCCTTGTTAATCCAAGCAGCAACAAAGTCCATATTTACAATGTTACATGTAACCATATTAAGGCAGGTTTACCACTTAACCCAGCCCTTTGACATCCATAGTAATTACAAATTAGGTGTATCAAAGAGRGTGGTGTATTTGAAGGGAGAAGATCCTCTTAAAACACAAGAAATCATCTTCTTCTCCACTTTTGGTGGAGTTTGGGCTCCCATCAAGGCAACGCCCGTTTGAGCAGCCTTTACAGTCTTGTATTGGGAATTTTCCCTACTCATGTGCTTTATTTCATGGGGAGATTCCCGATGCAAGGTTGAAAGAGGTTGTTGGGACGGTGTGAGCACGGGCTTGCCTTGACCGAAGTTGATCTCCTTTTGGTGAGTAGTGACAACCGAACCACTCCATCCAAGTGAAGATGGTATTTGACCCTCTACTTGTGACATCCATCTCAAATCATAAATCTTGTTCAAGATGATGAAAGCAAGATTGGAACACCACTATCCCTGCCATAGATTCTTGGGGTTTTAATCGTTCAATCCACCCCTAGGGCAGAAATAAGATTTCTAGGGGAGGACTAAATCCTGATCATGGATTGATGCCAAATCCATGGGCAGGATGCAATTTATAAAGGGGCTACTAGTAGACAAGGAGGGGGTTACAATTTTAGATTTCTGTGGAATGCAGTCCACTTATACCTAGATTCTTCAAGATGATGTGGCAAGTTTTTATTGAAGGGTCAATGTAAAAGATTGACCCAAGGGGTGATAGAATGCAAATTCAACTTGAATGCATCTCCCTACATGATCAAAACTGAAGATTGGCCCATAGAGAATTATTAACAGGACCTCCTCAAGCCCTAGACCTGGATACTAACCGAACATCCTAAGCACTTGGGATTTAGATTGCACCCAACCCTATAACCTGACAAATCAGGGGATTCACATTCAACCCGTTGCCTTTTAGTCAAGGGGTTTTTATTGTTCAGTCCATCCCTAGAAATCTTAGCTCCACCATACAGGTGGAATGAATCCTGACCGTGGATTGATGCCAAATCCATGGGCAGGATAAAGTTTATAGGGGGAAGCTACTAGTAGATTAGGAGGGGGCTATCTTTTCAGATTTCTGAGGGAGAGTGCAGTCTACTTATCCCTTTAGTCAATAGATAGCTCTCTTTAGATAGGACTGTCAATGGGTCATGTCTATCCGATGTACCTGAATAGATCGAACCAATTATAATGGGGTCTGGTTCCATTGTTTTGTCCCGGTTAATAATTGGGCCGGTTCTGACACTTGCCTGTCCTGAACCAATTCAGACCCGAAACTGATTATTTGATTGAATTTTGAATATATAACATTTTCTTATTTTTTTTTATAATTTCTATCATGTTTTATGTTTGAAATGATAAATTTGATGAATAATATTAGTTAAAAATTATTTAAATTATTAATATACAATTAATTAAATATTTTTCTATCAATTTTGTTAAGGTTATGTTATCAAAATATTTGATTTTTTATAATTTTTTATCTTGTTTTATGTTTGACATGATAATTTTGATAGATAATATTAATTAAAATTATTTAATTCATTAATATATATAAGTAATTTAATACTTTTCTATCAATTTTATTTTGGTTATATTATCAACATTTAAAATTTAAATTATTATTTAATAAAAAATATAGTTTTCAATATAACCGTCGGGACTATTAACCGGGACGGTTCTGGTTCTAATTAGACCCGATCCGACCAGTGACAGCCCTAAATGATTAAGATAAGATTAACTATCTTCACAAAGAGCTTTGGTCGGTGTGGGAACTCGAGGCGTTAGTAACCGCCATACGAAAGCAGCCGTTGTTAGTTGTTAGTTAAGTCGGTTAACAGAATTCTATTCCAGCAGCCGTTTGTACTAATAATCATATTCTAAGTAGGATTCTTGTATTATAAATGGTAAATAGACTCTGCCTCTCACTTTGTTAGTTGACCGCTTTTCTTATTTCTTATTATTGCAGTCTGTTACTCTGTTAGTTAAGTCGGTTAAGAATTCCATCCAGTACACGTTATTACTAATAATCCTACTCTAAGTAGGATTCTTGTTTTATAAATAGTAAATAGACTCTGCCTCTCATTCGCATACATACAGCATCATCAACACTACACTTCGTTCGATTCAACACTGAGAAATCGTTACTGTAAGTCTCTTTTCCCTTCCTTCGTTTCTCTTTCTCTTTATTCATGTTCTTACAGTGATTTCTCTTTATTCATTTTCTGTTTCATTACACTGACTTCTCTTTCTCTTCTGTTTATCTGCAGTGCGTGCGTCTGCAACAAACAAAATGGCTATGGTGTTAGCTATTCTTTCCTTCCTTTCAATCTTTTCCTTCACTGTTTCCTTCGGTCAATTAGATGATTACGAGTGGCCTGGACCTGAATATTCCGTTGTGGGAGATCCTGGTATGAGAAATTCTAACCTTAGATTGGCCATAGACTCATGGAACTACTGTAACAAGGTTGGACATGAAGCTCCTAAGATGGGGAGCCCGGCTGCAGCTGATTGCTTTGATGTCCATCCTAAGACATTCTCTGTTCATCATAGAGTCACAGAAGCCGATAACAGATTAAGTGTTGGAAAGCCTTTTCCTAGTTCATTCAGGGGACAAGATTTGTCTCATCTTAATGACCCAGATTTGTATGCTGTTCAGAAGGAACTGTATCTTGGTTCCAAGTGTGAGGTACATGGGAACGACCTGAGGTTTATTTCTGACTATTATCAGTTYTGGATGATTACTCTTAGAAATGGTAACCTAGACACACATGCTGGATTGTGCCCCAGTAAAGGCAGGAAGGTCGGTCCCTTTGAACATTCAGAAGATGGATTCTCATGTTTTGGAAAGGGGTGTATGAATCAGCCACTTATGTTCCATAACTATACCAGCTTGCAAACTGTTGGAAAGGAGAATTTTCTTAGAGGGAGTTTCTTTGGCACCTATGACTTGGATGTTGATTTTGGTAAAGGAGTAACACGTAACATTTCCTACTACTCTGTGTCATGGGAAAAGAAGTTTGGAGAGGATAAGAGTTGGGTTTTTCATCACTTTTTGAGGACATCAGACAAATATCCATCACTAAAGCTCATCCTGAAATCTGATACTGCTGGTGGAAAATTTGGCTATGGTACCAGAGGAATGACTAAGGATGTAAGTATCATTGTGCTGGTTTCTTTCTTTCTATTTTTTTCTATAATTAATTTCTGATTTCTGATCATATTGATTATTTGATCATATAATTTGCAATGATATTTTTTAGTTAGTTAAGAGTTTTAACTTCTTTTGGTTTGTTCTGATATTGCAGCTTACAATTTCRCCAGACTTTGAAGTGATTTTCACACTTAATGTGCTCAAGGGAGGAGGTGCAAATAGCCAATTCAACTTGCTAGAGATGAGAAGCTGTTGGCGGAATGATGGTCTTAGATGTGAAGGCAATAGTAGAATTGATGTAAATCGATACTTCAGAATGATCCTCAGTCCAAACACAACTGCACTGTGTAGCCCTACCAACTTAAAAGCATGTCCTCCATATCACATTACTCGTGGTGGTTCCCCTCCCATATATCGTAATGACACAGCAAACTTTCCATATGAGGCTTACCATAGTTACTGTGCACCTAGCAATGCTG